GAGAGGGAGGGAGGGAGGGAGGGAGGACGAACAAGAACTTTATTAAAACTATTTTTAAACATTTACTTGCAATTAAAAGAAAAGAAATAGCTGAAAAGCCAGTTCTGGGGTGAAGCGAAAAAAATTCAGATTACAACCTGAGAAAGCAATCTCTTCTACCAATTCAAAACATGAAAAACCAACTTTAAAATGTTTGAAAATGTATGAACCATAAGTGAAGCCTTCTCAAGAACCCTGGCCACATGCAGTGCTCCTTGCAGAATTCCATTCCATGATCTATTTTTGCCTATTTTTGCCTTTCCCAATTGCCTCTGATCTTTCTCTGCCCCCATTTATATGTGTTTTGTTTTTTAATTATTTAATGAACAATAGCAGGGGATTGCTACTAGTAGAGAGAGTTAGGCTGTAATGCTCAGTGACACTCTATGAATATAAAAAGCAATCGTTGATAGCCATTTCTACTCCCCAGGATATTTGTGTTTTGATAGGAGGAAGCTATCAAACTTAAACTTATCAGCTGAAATGTGTATTTTTTCTGAAATGAAAATATTTAGTTCCTTTTTCTTCTTAGCAAACTTTGGATCATCTCCTATCGCGATCTAATGTCACTCTGCACTTAATAGCCAGTTTGCATGTCTGAAGGCTCCTCCCACATCTAGCCATAAAAGTGTGTGCAGAAATTTGATCAGCCCTTTTTAAATCCATCACTTCCATTTTGTCCCTCTAAACAGTCTATTTGATTAAAGTTCTTGAAACTCAAAAAGTTGCAGTGATATTTGTACAACTTAAATGGCCTAATACAGATATTGCATTCAGGAATATAAAGTTTCTTTGGCAAGGGCTATCTATATCATCTAGCTATTCTGAACTAGCTATTCCTAGAAAGCATGCACCCTGTTCATGCTTTGGAAATTATGTGTGTGATCACGTTTCCCAGCTGAAGACTTAGGAATGAAATGTGTGGTTTAATATAATGAATAATGTCTGAAATTGTGGGTAATGAAATTTCTTCTTAAGATCTAGTGAAGGAATTAAAGTTGGCTGGTATAAAACACATGTGGTATCAAATCAATGTTAAGTTAAGGATGGGCAAATATGAGTGAAAAGGAATTCATACAATTTACATGGCAAATATGAGTGAAAAGGAATTCATACAATTTACATGGCAAAGTTTCTCCTTCTTGCCATCTCCTAATATTGTGCTATCCTCGGAAAGCTGACACCTCAAAGATAAGCTATCCCAAGAATCTTGTGGTACAGTATGACTGACAAAAGTAAGCATTGAACTCAGTCCCAAGTAATGCCTATCATTGTATAAGATCAAACCCTAATAGCATGGGCTTGGGTTTTGCAAGAGGAAGTGACAACTGGAAGACTTACAGGTGAAGGTTTTATTTTACTTCAAAAACAGAATTACACGAGAAAGACAGATGAGGCTTTCCTCCACTTGGAAACTTAAATTATATCCTGTCTCACATGTTGTACCTTTTATGTAACAAATCAATTAAGGAACCAGTGAGACTGTTCGATAATACTAGTGTTGGAATATTTTCTTACAATAATATCTAAACTAGCATAAGAATTGGTAAGAAGCTAAAAGGTTATAATGAGCAGCAGTGAGGCCATTTTGCAGGGGAGAGCTAGATCTGTCATGGGTGAATGAGCATGTTGCAAAAGTTGTGTGAAAGAAAGATGAAGGACTTAGGCATTGTAGTTTACTGCAGGCACTGCCTCTGTAGCCGTTGTGGCTAACCATAGATGAGAGGGAAGGGAAAAGCATAAATAAGTGGAGAAAGCATATGATTGGTCAATGCCTTAGACTCTCAGGGTTAATGATTGGCTTAAACGTTTGAATTAGCAATCTATAAGAGAGGTGGTGAGGAATGGCCTGGGGTGTCCCCAGCTCATCTCTTCCTGCTTACTGATTTCGGCTTTATTGCAATACACAATTTCTGGATCCCTCCACAAGTGTCTTCCTGCCTTTTATTGTAGCCTGGCTTGGGAATGAACTAAACTTCTAACACTATTTAGTTAATAATTCCAGGAGCCCTTGTCTATCTGAGAGCAGCCTCTGTACTATTGAGTAAATACTAGGATTAATCAAAACTGTTCAAGCAGTACTGTGTCCTCTATTGATGAGGTATTATTTAAAAATAAACATTTGATTTTGATCTATTTATGCCCCCTTGAAAAGGGCTTATTTCTGGAATATAGACTGAAATTATACCTGGGAAATTCAGCACTGTAAACCCTGAAAATATTGCTGATATTCTGACCTGCTTTTTAATAATTAAATCATTTCAGACTTACACCTACGAAGGAGTAACAGCCAAAAGGATCTTCAAGAAAGCATAAACAGCTACTACTGGAGACTGAAATCCAATAGAAGAGCACTTGTACTTTGTTTACAGCAACAACGTTTTCTTAACTGAATGCAAAGTAACTAAGTTCTAATATTCAGTTAAGATGTATTTATCTTTTATGCTCCATGAATGTTTAACTAAATGGTGTTGCTGAGTCTAAATATAAAATTTGCTTTTTATAAATGGGAAAAAATAAACACGATTTCTACTCCTATTCTAGAAGATGCTGTTGTCTTTCGTTGCTGTTGTGACTAAGTGTGGATAAACTTAAAATAAATAATTGCTCCTTTATACAATAAATCACTTATAAGGACTAGCTAGTCTGATCCAAGTACCATGCAAATATATTAGCTTGGTTCAAGTTCACCTATTTCTAAGATTTTCCAGTTTGGCACATTTCCCCATCAGTTTTCATTTTGTGATTTCTTAAAAATGTTAACACAAATGTTACTTTCATGTACATTTTAATAGAACAATTTTTGTACATACCTTTACATGGACATGTTTGCTAGCATGTCACGTAATATAATGTATTCTAATTTCTGTCTTGTACTCTTCTTTCCCCTTGAGTTGGTATTGCCAAACTAAGAAAAATACAGATTTCCACATAAGAATCAATTCCAGGTTCAAGAAGTACAAATTTGGAAATTACACATTAAATAAAACTACAGGAAATTCTGCCTCATCTGTATTCAAATTAATCTGGCTTTAAAATGAAAAGCAAACCCAGACAACTTTTTCAGTTTCAATTGTGATAAGTCAGTCAATCTTGGTCTAACTACTCATTGTTCAAAAAAAGGCAATATTCACATTAATGGCCTCATTTAATAAGAAAGTATATCCAATCAGTTCATTTCAGTTAATCTGTCTGTGAAGTGCTTTTAAAAATCATACCCACCATATGTCTCTGAGCAATGAGAAATTCCTGAATTCCAACAGTAGGCCAAGTTTCCCTTCTTTTGAAAGTAAGTTACTACAGCTTTATTGATAGTTTAAAATTGTGCATCTATTAATACACAGATCGAATACACCAATGCTTATTCTCCCCATATCATTTAACAAATCATATCCAATTTAGACCGCAATAGAAATTTCGTTTCATGTGTGATTTTCGATATTTGCCAGGGCAGATCACAATACAGATGCAGATTAGAGAGGATGGAGAATTTTGCTTGGGGCACACTTTTTCAAGAACTCTTGATTAATTTTGTTGTTATGTTAGTGTCAACTCTTAATGATTACATAGATAGACCTTCTATAGGATGATCTGTGCTCAACGTGGCCCTTCAGTTCTTCCCACAGTACACCTACTGCTGCTATAATTGAGTCTATCCACCTTGCTGCTGGCCATCCTCTGCTCTTTTCTTCCACTTTTCTCAGCATTAAGGACTTCTCAAAGAATCTCAAACATTTATTATTATTTTTCCTTAAATATGTGTACTAGAATACTACTGTCTTTCAGATTCCATACTTTATACAATATTGTCAGTGCTCTTCTCCAAACAGAGAAATACATACAAAACTGCTCATATCAATAAAAAAGAAAACAGATCTTATTAAGGAAAACTGATTTTATGAAGCCATCTTAGTGAAAATTATGCACCAAGTATGTATATTTGAAAACTGTACTAAAATATATATTTTTGTTTGGACTTTAAAAAAGTTTCAGTCAGGTTTCAGGCCAGGGTACAGTATGGAAACAGCATTGGTTGTACTTGTTGATGACCTTTGCTAGAGCTGGGATGGAAGTAGTATATCCATTCTTATCCTCCTGGATCTCTCACTGGTTTTTGATACCATCAAACAGGTTATCCTTCTGAACCAACTACAGAGTTTGAGAGAAGGAGGCACTGTACTATAGTGGCCAGTTTCTCTGGTGGCCCTTCTCTGTGGCCAGTTTCAGTTGGTGTTGACAGAGGGCAGGGAGATCGTATCCACAGTCCTTCACTTGTCAGGTGGTTCAGGGCTCAATGCTTTCACTTCCCCTACTTTGACATCTATATGAAACCACTAGATGAGGTCATTCCTCACTATTATTGGTAAGCAGATGATACCTAATTGTACACCTCAACCCAAGGCTGTCCAGGTGATGCTGTCAATGTCCTGAGCCAGTGTTTGAAAGCTGTCCAGTCTGGATGGGGAGGAATAGATTCAGGCTCAATACTGCCAAGACCAACTGGCTGTGGCTGTTCAGGCCCTCTGGATCTAGGAATTTTTCCTGTGGAAGTGCACTTCCCCATTTGAGTCTCATGAGCTACTTGGGGGTTCTCCTGGATTCGCAACTACAGCTATGCAGGAGCCCCGTTGCACAAGTCTATTTTGTGCACTAGTTGTGCCTATTCCTAGAAAGGGTGGCTCTTTAGTCAGTCATTCATGCCCTAATCATCTCACAACTGAAGTATTACAATGTGCTCTACATGGGACTGCCCCTGAACACCTGGAATATACAGCTGGTCCAAAATGCAGTGGCCTGGGCAGTAATAGGCACATCTCAATACACCTATATGTCATCACTGCTTCACGGGCTGCACTGGTTGTCAGTTGGCTTCCTGGTGCAATTCAAGCTGCTGGTTGTCACCTGTAAAGTCCTTCATGGCATAAGGCCTGGTTATTTGAGGTACTGCCTGTTTTCAGTGGTTTCTACCTGTCCAGTAAGGTTGAGCAGAGTGGGGGTACTCCAAGTCCCCTCAATTAAACAATGTCATCTGGTGGGGCTCTGAAAGCAGGCATGTCCTCTGGAACAGCAGCCCCTTAGAGATTCATACTTCTCCACTCTAAAAGGGTTATCTAAGAAAACGTGGCTTTGTTCCCAGTCTGGGGTTAAGATGTTTGCTGAGCACCTGGCAGTTTGTTTGTTTTTTTTAGATGGGTGATTTTGTCTGGGTGTACAAATGATTTTTATTTTTTATCTTTTTAATTATACCAGAGTAATTTGGGAGTTGGGTAATCTTCCAAATCCACTAAAATTAATTATTTTTAAAAACTGATGAGAAGTGGAATGTAATAAACTTCAAAATGGAAAATTCAGGTAGTCCGGTGGTATTAAACCTATTTTGCTAATTGAGAGACAAAGCTAAGACCATTTCTCCCTTCATGATTTATAGCACCCTTAGTGACATCCAGACATTACTTGTGAAGGCAGGCTTTATTCTGCCACAACAATGGCTGGGTGGTGCTAGAAGATGTTATCCATTGGTAGTGAAGCAATGGTTAAAGGTTGACAAAGTGATTGTGAAAAATGTTGCACCTTTGATCCAGGTGGTTAGCCAACAATGCATGTTACGAAACTACCACAGCTTTTTACTGTGCTGCATGGTCTTTAGGGTACGAAGAGTTTCAACAACTGCCCTAAGAAAGATAGCAAAATAATTAACTGAAATGAAGTCTCTATCTCTTAATCAGCACGAAGAGTCTTGCATAATAAAACTGTATTCTTAAGAAGCTACAATACCTTTTTGATATCTTAAGGATAAGCAACTTTATTATATTTCTTAGAGATAGGCTGTTGGTCTCTTGCTTGCTGACTCAACAGTTTTTCCTATAAGTCAGTGCTTTTCAAACTTGGCAACTGTAAGATGTATGGACTTCAACTCCCAGAATTGGGAATGCTGGCTGGGGAATTCTGGGAGTTGAAGTCCATGCATCTTACAGTTGCCAAATTTGAAAAGCACTGCTATAAATTAACCTCTACCGCGACAAGAAACGATTGCTTGTTTTAGCCTTAGTGAAAATAACACAACATTGCAGGGAATTGCAATGTAAACACCTTAAATGCCTTTCTTTTGCTCCGTTTCTTTTTTTATCTCTGTGCACAGCCACGGGCACCCACCCCAGCTTTTTATGTCAATTACAGAGTTTCTACCCCCTATTTACCTTCACGGTCAAGCAACCACAGATCTCTTTCTTTGTTAAACAGACCGCGCCCAAGTGAGTCGTTACCGGAAACGCCGCTCCCGGGCCTGTCCTTTTCGTCTCTATCGTCAGAACTGCCTTACGTCCCTCGGGCGCCCTTCGCATCGGAGTGAATCCTTTGCGACGGATGATGGAGGCTCCGGAGGGCGCTGAGGTACGGGGCCGCCGAAAGACGGACCGGCTCGCCGCCGAAGCGGCGGGGTCGGCGGGAAACATCGCCCGCGGGCCCACTCTGACCGGGACATCCTACTGGCTGGACGTCTGGCTGATGATCCTCTTTGACCTCGCGCTCTTCGTCTTCATTTATATGTTGCCATGACGGGAGCGTCAGAGGGTGAGTCAAGGGGGCTGAGCGACGCAGGGGGACGAAGGGGCTCTTCCTGAGACCGGGGAAACGAATGGGAACATCCCCAAGGCTGGCAGGGCCTTTATTATGCCCAGCCAGAGTGACACCGGGCCCCGAGCACGAATTCAAGATTGGGAGGAAAAATCAGGATACTGATCGCTTTGAGCTTCGCAGTTAGTGTGAAGCCGACGGTTGGGGCTTTGTGAATGCGGTGTATCTCTTCGGTTGTGAGTACACGATCACTGAACTGCAGCGGGACGGGGTGAATCCTGTCCTCCCTTAGTCACATCAGGCCTTTCCCTTTGCTACGCAATAATCCAAACCTAGTCAGTTTTCCATGACGGGCGACACCTTAGGTATCTTGAAATAAAAGCAGCAGTTTCTTGCTCGGTTTTTGGGAGATGATCGAGCAAAGCAGAAATCCCACCTGGTTCTGTAATTAAAGGATAGGTATTAAGACGAAAAAGCCTAATAGGCCTTCAATTGTCAAAACAGTTTAATGCAAGGGGGCCAGAAAAAAAGAAAAAAAGAAAAGGAATTCGCCAGATAGTTTTATTAGGAAAAAGACCAAACAAGAAACTGTGAATTTGAGGAACACATTGTGTAACCTTAACCAAAGAAATACAACTAATACATCTACCTAAGTCCAGGTATCCCCCTTTTCTCAGCTGGAGCAGGTAAATTCCCTTTCCTTTGATGTGCTTTCTCTGCTCCTTCAACCCAGGACCCAGTTGCTTGTCTTTGGAACCTTCGTTTGCTTTCTCTTCTTGCCAAGGAGCAATTTAATTCTTAAGTAGCATTTTGCTACTAAATAGCTAGTCCTTTAAGTTAAGTGGGAGAGAATATGTGTAGCTCAAGATTGAACTGTGGAGTCCTTGGTGCTCTCTGAGCTTGGTTGTTTGCTTGCAGATGTTTCATTACCAGACTAGGTAACTTTACTGGTGGGAGTGAGTGTGGGGTTTCCTTGGTGGTTTCTTGATTGTTTTTTGCCTGATTGTTTCCCTAGTGTTAATCCCTGCTTATCTGAATGTTGGCTGCTGGAGCAGATGTGGTTTTGTTGTTGTTGTTGTTTCCTTCCTAGTTTTGTCTCTTTTGAATGGTGCATGAATGTGGTTTATCTCCATGTGTCTATTGATTGCTGATTTGTAAGAATGCCACGTTTCCAGGAATTCCCTAGCATTTTTGGATTTGGCTTGGTCTAAGATCCTAATAGTTTCTCAGTTGAATCTGTGGTTTGTCCATGTGTTGTGAAATTAAGGTGTTTCTATCACCACACCCACACACAGGCAGCAAACTTCACACTTAGTTACATTGATAATGTTGCCTGATTGAGTAGTGGAATGTCTACAAACAACCAAGGTCAGAGAACTCCACTTTTAAATTGTAAGAAAGGCAAGAATTTAGGATTGCAGCTATCTGAAGTTGCATCTACTAGGAAGTCTTAGATGGCACCTAAAAATGCTGAGACAAAGATTTAGTATAAAGGTATGATCTCCAAATGTTATTGCTGTGCATTTCGGGAAGTAATATAACAACAAGCAATAGTAAACATTGTGAGAATATGTGGGAGATAAATATTTTACTAATCCTGTCTAATTCTGAGGAAGTGATACTGTATGATTAAAACTTTTGGACAATTGTATTTATAAGGTAGCAGGTTTTCAAAACTATTTCTTGTGAAAATTCATAGTTTTGAATTGTTTGAAAGTTTGTTTATGCTACTTACTTATCTATCACTGGATTAATGACTAAAATAGTTTACTTCAGAATTACAGCTTGTAATTCTTTTGGAGCAATTCTTTTGGAGCAAGATATTGTAACCATGCTAATCAACTTATATGGTCTCACTCAAAATTCCATTTTGGAGTAGTGGTTGAGAATGTTGGACTAATTCAGAAAACAAGATGATAAAACTCTTTGCAATTAAAAAAAAATGAATACCATTTATATGTGAATGGATATGATTGCTTTTTACATGCTGCAATCAAGACAGGCTAAACAAAAATGTAAATCACTTTATGCCACAGAGGAAATAATATTGGCATCTGTTTTGGGCTTTATAAGTGACTCTAGAGGCAGTGTCACTTATTAAATGTTAAAAGCAGTTGAACTGCTCAGATTATGGCTCCTTAGCATTATACAGTGCTGGAAAAATCAAAGACAAAAGGATGAGTTATACTGTAGTTTATAATATGGTACAACCAGAAGTGTCAGTAGCTACTTAAATAGCTTTAAAAGGGGACCGACATTCATGGTATGGAGAGTTTTCAGTGGCTAAAAACTGGAACAGCTATATACTAGTGCCAGTTGCAGAAGCACAATATCTATGAATAATCAATTGCCAAGGAACTACAGAATAAGGTATGTCCTACTTTTAGGTTTGTCAGGCAACTGATGATGCTATACTAGGTACGCCCTAAGTCTGATCCTACAGGATTATATTGGATACAGTTTTTTTCACTGATGGGTCTAATTTCTGTTTTCTTTATCCAACAGACAACCAGATTGCCATCAAGAATAACCAGCCAATGTTACTCCTTCAGCTGCTTTCGCTTCAGAACCAAAATAAAAGGACACTGCAAAACTAATATAACAACAGCTCAAGAAATACCAACTCCTCTTACTGTATTTGAACTATTGACATATTTTTGCTGACCTATTGGATGTGATATTTTGTTTAATGAACTTGAACTATGATGAACTATGATGTTTCACATTATTTTCAACATGAAGTGCAGATTGTGCCTTATATTAAATATAAATCTGTTATTGAAGTGACAGAACAATTTCAATTAAGTTTGAAGTTGTTTATTTTCAGCAATTAACTGTGGGTGTCACCATTCAGGTGGACTGAAGACAAGTATCTTTGTAACAATAATTTATAGGTATGGATGAGCTTCTAGCATGAAATAATAGAGAATGTAAACTGATCAATTCTAAGGGCTGTGTTTTAGTTGCTTTTATGTAAAGAATTTATATATGTTCTTTTCATATGCAAGGAATATCATTTGTCCTGTCTGGAGTTTTAAAGAACTTTGTGCTGAGCCTTGGCCTCTCAGAAGCAGGATGGACTTGGACTATGTAGGTGGTGTTTTTATGATCCTTTTTATAGTATGTAAATGTAAAGAGACCAAATACCTGAACAGTTTTCACTGTGTCTAATCTGGTCCTAATCCACACTGTACTTCGGATTTGCCCTTCTGTTGAAAGTATCTGCAGCTAGACAAGAAAATAGATCTTTAAGGATTTTCATGTTATAAAAGTAGATTGAGGAGTAAGCCTATAGACATTCATGTTAATTTTCCTAATTTAAATATAGGTGTTTTTCTTTCCATGTATCAGTTCTGTGCCCTACTTTCTGTGTATCAACTGAACAATTTATTACATTTAGATCATAGAGTAAATGGACTCTCCCCATTTTGTCAGACTGGGACAAAGGGCATTTATGTGTTAAATTTATTACATTCTATTTGGGCTGTATATATTTGCATGTTGTGTTGAGCACAAGATCTGAAACATTGGTGGGGGTTTGGGGGGAGAGGTTCTACTCTAATTAGAGTTCTGCCACTGGTTCATGTGGTATTGAACTGGGGAAAGAAAACCCCACCTTTTCCTCCAGAACCCTTTTTGTGTGTGTGCTTGAACTAAAATTGTCAGAAATTTGGGTGGCCCTATATTTAAAGTAAATTCAGTATTACTGTGCTATTCAACCAGTATACCGTATTTTTCCGACAATAAGACGCCCCCATGTACAAGACGACCCCCACTTTTCCAACCCAAAATTAAGA